TTTCTTAGCTTCTCGATCATCTGACCTATGTAACCGACTGCTTTACGTTGCGAAGAAATTAATAGTCTTTAAGACATCAAGATTTATAACAGGATTATAACAGATTTATAACTGATTTATAACAGGAATATTATATTGTGAAGGGCAAATGTATGATAAATGATGATGAGCCGAGAAGCTAGATTCGATTGTATCATCGTAGTACATTTATGTTTCGCTCTTTAGAGAGTAAGGAAGACGGTATTATTGGCAACGAATAATGCATATTTGATTAAATGTTAAATGTTTGGTTAAATGACTTTCTGCTCTGTCAGTGGCTCAACTTTTCTGATATAACAATATTTAATGACAGCATAGGGGAGATCGGGGCTATTTGACCATCGAAATAAGTTGGCACAATCAATTATTTCTACTGTTTTTTAATAAATTTCAGAATCAAGCAAGCAGAGATTTCAAAGATATCTTTGACATGTTTAAAAATCTTACTTGCTTAATTTTGTAACTTGTTAGAAAATACTAGAGACAGTTTTGCCAACTTACCGTGGTAAACAATTAGGCTCTACTAGTAGGTCTTCCCTACTGACAATGATTTACAAGAAAATCGGCGAAAATAATTGTTTAGTTTTTCACAAGTGATCTCTTTACACTTATATACAACTCAATTTATTACCTTCCACTTATATTTTTCTGTTATAAAAATTGTTCTGCTTGAACACTTTAGTTTGGTATAATATTGATTCAAGTCCTTCAATTGTAGCTAATAGTTACAATCGCGCAATCGATGCTTAACTATATATCGTCCCAAGCGTACCTCTTCCTTTCTTATTCCAGAGTGTTCTTGTAAATGTATGTAATTGATTATTCAAAATATTCGTTCAGTTACTCATCAAAATTTTAGTCGAAGGAATTTAGATGAGAATTACTAAGATGTTTGCATGTGAACGCGTGTAATCTAGAATATTTTGGATTGAGAATGGAACGATATCAGTACTTTGTTTTAATAAATACGATCAGCATCGAACAATGAAAGAGATTCGAGTGGTGTTCGTAACAGGAATACTTCTGAAAATTTCCTTCTTCTATTGTTTTAATTGTATTTATTTTGCATCGAATGTATTAGCGTAAGTAGATCATGGCAAATGTGAAAGTTAGCGATTGTGATGTAGTCACGATCGAGGCAAACAGTCGTGACTCTGGTAGCGTCTTACATGACAACGTGAAGCTAAAATCTAGATGCAGTTTTGTACATTGCTTTAGAGATTGTTGCGTATATTTCATTCGAGCTGGCAGATCTTATACAACGCAATTTATTACCTTCTACTTCTATTTCTCTGTCATAAAAATTGTTCTATTTGAACATTTTAGTTTGATATTAATTCAATAATATTAATTCAAGTCCTTCAATTGTAGCCGGCAGATCTTTCAGATATATTTCAGACGCAAAAATGCGACATATATTTTTGACTTAAAACAATAAACGCAACTTTGACAACCGTTATATGCACGGTCATCTCGAAGGTCGACAACTCTGCCGATGATAATCCTATAGTAATGTCTTCTCGTAGAGTAACGGAATCGAATATATGGAATATCTCTTTTTAAATTCAAACATTGAGAGACATATTATCTATAAGGTTCGATAAAAGAAAGAAAATATCTAAAATTTAATTCTAGTTGTATATTAATAAAAAAAGTAAAAAGTGAGAAAATCAGGAAGTTGAAAAAATGGGAGATAACATGGACTACCGAGAAAATTCAAGAAACAATTAGTAAATAACACAATCAATAAAGTGCAAATCTATTTATTTCTGAGGAAGTAATTGTTTATAATCACTGGACATGTTATTTTTTACTTTAAAAAATCGCAATACTATCAATAGAAATTTATTAAAAGATATCATATGCATACTTTATGCAGGAAATAAACATGATACATAGAAAAACAGAAACTTAATATAATAAACAATAAAGGTAAATATTGATAAAAAGGGAGACATAGCTCCAACTCAGACAGCACAGAACATCCATAGGACATCCATTTCATGTTCATTTTACGTCCGTATGTCCAGAGATATAAAGTGGACGTCCACAGGATATCCTATTTTGAACATGAAACGGATATTCTCATCAGTATATCTTATGAACTTTTGATATACGTCCAAGATGAAATAAAGTTCAGAATATATTAGAGGACGGTTTTATATATGTTTTAACGGTTTACCCAGACAGCACACAATATTTATGATAAAGGTTCATAAATATTTATTTCGAATTACTTTTTAAAAATATTATATAAATATTTTATAAATATTTATATACATAAAGAAAAAAGTATCAAAATCTTAATTCAAAATATTCTTAAAATATAGGCTAAATATTTTATACAATACTTATAGTAAACAAAAATAAATATTTGTAGTAGTATTTTGTAAATATTTCTATAAATATTATATATGAAAAAATTAATATAATTATTTATAATTATTAAATTAATGAAGAAATAAGAAAGTCAAAATTTAAATTGGTAATATATATTGAAAAAATTTTTTAAATCAAAGAAATATATTTTGTTAAATATAATTTCTTAACTTAAACAAATATTTTGTTATACTTTAAAAAATATATAATAAACATAAAGTAATATTTTTTTAAATTTGTAAAATAAGCTGTAAAATTATAAATTTCTATAAAAAAATAATCTCCTTACAAAAAGAAAATTTTTTAAATGTAAAAATTGTGTTTAGATAAATATTTTCTTGTTTTAAAGTAAATAAAGTACAAGTAAATTATTTTATAACTCTAAATAAATTATTTTCTAATATTAAAAGTATCTTTTTGGGTTTCAAATTAAAGTTTCTTTTATTATTAGAAAACAATTTATTTAAATTTACAAAATGATTTATTTTATGAATAAATTATTTATTTACTTTTAAAACAAGTAAATATTTTTTAAATATACTTTTACATACTTTTTAAACATATTTTACATTTTAAAGGATCTATTCTTTTCTTTTAAATAAATAATTTATTTTCGTACATGGATAGAACATATGTATACAATGCAAAATGTCTCTCACAAGGAAACGGTCGGGGGCGTCCCTCACCGAATTTGATGAGCATTGGATATGTTGTAGAGCATCAAAAAACATTAGACACGTATTTTTTTTTATGTGCTTATCTCGAGGTTTAGGGGTTGAAACCACCCCTTGAAAAAAACGGACTTTTTTATTTTTATTTAATATTTCCTAAAATATGAGGTATATGAAAAAATATTTCAGACAAAAGTTTTACAGTATCTTATGCCCTTTCCATCGGTCTATTCAAATTTTTT